TATATGTATATGTATATGTATATGTATATGTATATGTATATGTATATGTATATGTATATGTATATGTATATGTATATGTATATGTATATGTGCATGAGTAGGTGGAAGATATATGTAAATGTATATTAATGTGTGCAATGGAAGTGACGATGAAATGAGCAGATTGATTGGATCAAGATGCTGCCAGTCATATATCCCAGCTCAGCAAAATCAAGCATGCAGAAAACAAATAATTCCACACGCTTATCCCGATCTCGATCTCCTCACCTCCATTTTCCATTCCTAAACTTAGCAATCAATCCACATAAATTCACATTTCCCCATTTCAATCTCCACCATTTCTGCCTCTTATCTCACCCCACCCCCCCCCAATTCAATCTTCTTCTTCTAAGGATACGAGAAAAGGAACTTAATTGGGGGTGGAGCAGACATGGAAACAACCACCACCACCACCACCACCGTCCCTGCAGACCTTTCCACCAACCGGAGCCACCTTAAATCCTCTTCCTTCCGCCTCCGTTCTCCTTCCCTCAACTCCGTACGCCTCCGCCGTATCTTTGACCTTTTCGATACCAATCATGATAATCTCATCACCGTTGAAGAACTCAGCCGTGCCCTCATTCTCCTCGGCCTGGATACCAACATGGACGAGCTGGATTCAATTATCAACTCCTTTATCCAGCCGGGAAACGCCGGCCTCACGTTCGACGATTTCCAGGCGTTGCATAGATCTATCGACGATCTCTTCTTCCACCTTGACGATCTCGGCAACCAGGCGGCCGGAGATGAAGATCATGATGAGGTTACGAGTTGTGATAGTAGTAAGCAGGAGGAGGCCGATCTGACGGAGGCGTTCAACGTGTTTGATTTAGACGGAGATGGATATATATCGGCGACGGAGTTACAGGCGGTGCTTGGGAAGCTAGGGTTCGCGGAGGCGAGCGAGATGAGGAGAGTGAAGATGATGATCTCCTCCGTGGACCGGAATAAGGATGGACTCGTTGATTTCATGGAGTTCAAAGAGATGATGCGTAATGTGATCGTTCTTCACTAAATCATCATCCTCCGGCCTCATCATCAATTCTGTAAATGTAATGTTGGTTTCCTCCGGCGACTGCCACATCCGCCGGCGCCGGGACATTATATTACTGGCTTTCTTTTCCGATGTTGTAATCTTTTTGTAATATACAAAGAACGATGTGATTGGATTTAAAACAAATTATAATTCAATTATATATTAAATATATTCCAAAAAAAATTGATTGTATATGCATGCATGTGGAAGTCTGCAATACAATTTCATGATATATTTTAATATAATTAATTTCATAACTATTATGACTGCAGACTAATTTACAAAATTTAAAATGGGAATAAACTAATTTTCATTATTTTTTTTATTTTTTAATATATAAGGAACTACTTTTTACACTACAAAAATAGGAGTATTAGCGACGGGAAATTTCATCGTTAAAGGCATTATCCGTCGTTGATCGTCTGTCGATTGTAAGTTCGTAGGTAATGCTATCAGCTACAGATCAAGGACAGATTTAGCGACGGATAGGGACGTATTAGCAAGGGAAATTTTTCAGCGACGGATACTTTTACCGACGAATTAGCAAGAAAAACTTTCAGCAACGGATTAGCGAAAGAAACCTTTCAGCGACGGATTAGCGAGAGAACTAGTTATTGGCCTATCCTTCGTAGATCCCTCACTGATCAGCAAAAAACCTGCGAGTGTTAGACCCAAAACCATTTTCTTCGCTAATCCGTCGCTAATAAGCAAATGATCTGTGAGGGAAATGGTTTTTGGCCTATCCCTCACTGATTAGAGATGGATCAGCGACAAATAAGCCAAAAACCAGTTCCCTCGCTAATCCGTTGCTAATCTGCGAGAGAAATGATTTTTGGCCTACCCATCAATGATTTTTTACGTCGATGATACTTTGTTTTCTAGTAGTGTTATATGACAAAACTTGACTGATTTGCATACCTACAAGCAGTATGAGAGGGAAAAAAATAATGTGCGCCACATGGAAGGCGCCTAGCTTCATGTGAACTGATTTGGGGTCAGGCAACTTAGGGGGCGGACGCTTATGCCGCCTAGAAGCTGCGCTGAGCACCAACACCCACTCTTTGTCATTTTTGGGCATTTATTACACTTTTTTTTTCTCGTTTACTTTTGTTCTTCTTCTTTCCGACATTCAATATGAATATAGTGGGTTCGGCATTCAAGACAAGAATCAGAGACCTTCAAGATCCTAAAGAGCATCTAAATCAAGATCCTAATCCTTATGCATGAGGGTTAGAAGTGATAAAATCAAATGGGTTATGTTGACTCCTATTGTGATTTGCTTGTAACTAGACACTAAAGGTCTAGTGAGATTCTTGAGATGCCACTTGTCTAGAGAATGGGTGGGACAAAGGTTCGATAAGTCCTTGAGGTGATACTCTTTCGAGTAGACACTAAAGGGATACAAGGGCTTGAGGTGACACCGTGAATAGGTGTGCACTAAAGCTATGAATCTAAGATGTAACCCAATGACATCAATATGTGGAAATACTATTATGTTAGTGCCACTCTGATGGAAACTTGGTATCCCCGTCATTCGAAAAATATTGTGTTGGATATAATGTCCAAGATTTGGGATAACTTGATATGATGCACTGTGTGGTACAGCGAATGTCGTTGCAGATAACATCTTATAATCTATCTTGTGTTGCTTATGATTGTGAGTTGAAACTGTTCGGACTTTTAGGAGTTAATCCTAACACTTTTCTTGTCGACATGTATACCACGTCCAACTAGCGGCGGATCTATGACTGTTTGAGGAACATTGGTGGTTCTATTTAGGAGCATCACAGGTAGAGTCGTTTTAGGGAGCATTTTTGTGTTGAAGATTGACTTTTGGAGTTTTAGTAACACTTGATTGTAATATACTTCTAATCAGGATTAAATTAATAAGTTGTTATCTATATTTCCATTCTTTATTGTTATACTTAATCAGTAAACTTTTCGTTCGTAGGTTTAAGACTTGCTCCTGTTTTATGGAAATTTATAGTTTTAAATTGTTGTAATTTATAACCATTTTAGTGGTGTTACAAGTTGATTTTAGAGCTCTAGTATAAGTGAACTTGGTATGATTTTAGGATGTTTAGACTTAAACTAACCAAATTACGCGATGAATTTCAATCCTTGGTTAAACTGTAAGAGGCGGATGTCTTTAGGACTCAACGGAAATGCATTTATTAAGACAAGGTCTGGCCCATAGGACCAAGAACTGGTTAGACTCATGACAAAATTAAAAAGAAGTCGTTTTATAACCGCTCAGGAACGGTTATTTGATTTTTTTTTGACATTTTAACCGTTTTTTTGTCCTTTTTAGCCTTTTTACGTTATACATAAGTCATATGGTGTATGGCAGAAGATACTAAATTCACAAACGCAAAAATACACTCATAATTCGCTATAATTCTTGATTTCAGCTTGTATTTGATTTTGGTCATCTTATTTTCCTACTTGAGTTCTCTCTCTTATCTTTGTGTTATTACTTAGAAAATGGCTTCCCATAATATTGGTAATGATTCATCCAACAATAATTTTACCCAAGTACTCAGCGGAACATGGATGAAAGTCTGAAATTTATAATTCATACAACATGGTGGTCCTCGCAAGCGGGGAAAGGAAGACACAATGCAAAATGGTGTTACTCTCTCCTTACAGTCGAAGGAAAATTCAACGTTGAGACATCATGCTGAAAAAACATTTTCGGGGTTAAAGTCGGCGGAAGGGTTTCTTGGCAACCGATCCTCTATGGACAAGGTGGAATTGATGCGAATTTGAACCGCAAAAGACAATGCAATGTGTCATTCGAGTAGGGTTGCCCTTCGGAGATTATGATAACCATCACATTACGACAACGATTCAATAAATGCTACAAACACACTACAAACAAGTTTGTCGTCAAACTCTTAGATGCGATGCAATAAACTTGTGGAAAACGTGTCAAAATGAAATGTGAAAAGTGTTTTCTCTTTTTATTAGTTGTGTTTCTTTAACATATGATGTATGCAGCGTGCCACACGATTTACCACATTCTTATATATGCATAACATCAGTGTAGATTGAGCCACAATCATGGAAATTAGTAAAATGTGTTATCATGTTTGAACTGTTTGGTGCCCACATATGGGTGGTCATTTATTTAAAACTAGAAGACGATATTCAATTTCTTTTAAATAGAGAAGACGATATTTTAACTAATAAGTAGAAATTTTATTTAACTTACGGGAAGAGAACCTCGCCCCCAGCCCCCCTCTCAC